GGTTCAAGGATGGCCTGCTGGACAGGAGTCCCTGTCCAGGAGTTAGCTTAGCCTGTTAAAAAGAAAAAGGAAAAAAGGATGGTGTGTCCTTGGAGACAATCCCTTCATTAATTTCTGGGCATCATCTCTTGCCAGAGTATGAGACTGGGAAAAAGCCCATCACTTGGGACAGTGATTCATGGTCCAATGACTGAAAGCAAGGCTAGAACAGGAGGCTACCTGGAAGATTTAGGCTTCCATAATACGAATCTGCTTAAAAATCCTGGTTGATAGATGTGCAGGCACTCCGCCACCCCGACCACCCCAGCCGTGTCAAAGCACTTGAATCCCTTGCTCTGTGTTGTTTTTGCAGGTAGAGGTGAATGCCAAGGATCCAGCTGTGCTATGAAAGGTGCATGGGTTTTGACAGGTGGATTCTAAAGGGGTTGCTCTTGTGTTCTCAGTAGAAGGACCCACACAGCTGGAGCTCACCGCTACATCACTGGCTGCTCCAGAATCTTTGCTAGGGCAGTATCTGTTTGCAACACGGACATGGGATTGCTGCATCTCTTCCCCACGCCTCCCCATACATACACATACACACCCAGACTAGTTTTAATGTGGTCCAGTATCAAAGCACAGAGGAGAGCACATGCCATCAGGTTAGAATTAGAGAAGGAATATCAGGCTGAAAGCTAGATGTCTGACAAGCAGACAAGAAGCATGTCTTTGGCAAGGACCAGAAAGGCAGTCTTAAGTAGCCCACCTTACTGTGAGATGAGCACAAGGTAGTCATGCTGGCCTGTACTGTAACCAGCAGCCCATGCTGCCTCAGCCTGCAGAAAAGGCCAAGAGCCCAAGCAGGAGTGTTCATCTCAAAGGACTAGAAGATTTATTGCTGCCACAAGGAAAAGAGAAGTCCCCTGAGAGAAATCTTAAAGCATGGGAATCACAAGGCCTTCTTATGGTCTGATTGCTCCACAATTGCTTAACAGCATAGAAGAGAGATTTGATCCCTGCATCTAAAAGTCCTGCACACCAGCCAGCATCTGGTGGGCATCAAAGCAGAGTCTCAGTTGTGGTAGTCCATGATGCTAAAGTGCAGTGTTGCTTACAGGGGTGATTGGCATTGAGGGATATGTTCTCTCTTGGGGACGATCAGCCACTACATAGCAGCTCTAAATCTAGCTGAAAGGTGTAAACGTGCCCCATTTCAGAGCTGGGGATTGTGTCTGGTTAATTTGGAGAAGGGACAAAAATATTACCTTAAGGGGAATGGAAGTGGAACCATAAGAATGCATCCTGGTTATAAAATCCTAGCTAAGATGGAATGACGACTTAGATCTTACCAGTGTCCCCACCACAACCTGCTAATAAGTCAGTTGGGAAATGCGAGGAACAATGAACTGTGCCTTTTACTGAAGATGCTGCACCACTATGTCTTGTCACACCAGCACTTTCTTCCTTCCCTGCACAACCAGCAGTAGTCCTGGGAATTATTTTAGCCCCCTTCCCCACCCCCCACCCCAGACAAGCAATAAAGGTTCTATTGTGGGCCTGGGGGGTTACACTCTGGTCTTCCAAAGAGTACACAAGCAAAATAAATATAGGCATTAAAACAGACACCCAAATCCATGGTTAATGGTGGAAGATGGCCAAGAGTTAGTATGGGGTTGCATTAGCTTGTCTGGAAAGGGCAAGTGGCAAACGTTCCACCTGAGACCTATTCAAACTGTATGGAAAGAGACAGGTGTGTTAGAAAGAAAGCAGTGCCTTCCAGCACACGCTCCTTCCTTTCAAGCCAAGGGAATTTGGGAAAGAATCCCATAATGCCCCAGAACAAGCATGACCTGCTGTAGCTATGCTCTTCTGAAGGAGCACAGCGGCCCTTCAGGATGCTGCTGCCAGATATAGTAACCAATCTCTACCTTCAAGACTTTCTCTGGACCATTTTTTCCTACCTCACTACCATCTCATTGTCCAGAACTGTCCTTGGCTGCTTCTTTAGGGCAGCCCTGCCCCGCACTGAGAAGCAAAACGCTCTTTATGCTTAAAATTGTAGTGAATCCAACTTTGTTAAGCTAAATTAATTGCACAGAAACTTTCTAAATGCTCTCTCGCTGTCTTGAGTTGTATATTAAGCACAATCACGGCCTGGCGTCCTCACCCTAACCAGTTGAGCTCTTTTCCCCCTTTATCAGGTACTATTAATAGTGTTGAACAACCCATTTCTTCCCATCACTGTTGACAGGGACTTCTAGGTCAGTTCTGGATTCATGAGTTCAGCTACAGCAAAAGGAGCAGCCTACTGCTGTGCCCTGGTTGGAAGGAGAACAATACCTTCTAAAGAGATTATGCATGGAGGCTTACGGATGGGCATAAATCAGTATCTGTGCATAAACAGCATTTCCTGGTTTGGGAGAGTTCTTCTTTGTTCAACAATTCTGTAATGACTCAGAAGAAAACATTTTTTAAAAAAGAAAGCTATGGAAGTTGATGTGAGTAAAACCAATGGTTATACTATTAAGCACACAACTTTCATTTTCAAAACTGCTGTCAGTTTCCTGTCCTTTTCGTTTTTGTGATAGTGAGAGAACGATGGTGCTGAAAATCTACTGATACAATCAAGCTCTCTGCCCCCTCCTCGCCTCCCACAAAAGATACAAATGCAAAGGGAAAAGGGAAAGAGAGAGAAATAAAAAATAAATAAAAGCAATTGTCTTCATTCCCCGACCTTGATAGGTTGGGACAGAATCACTCAAATCTTTGGGACCCGAGACACAAAGTCTTGCTCCTGCACAAGAATCCAAAGGCCTTTCCGGGCAACCTTCCCTGCCCCCCACTCCTCCCAGAAAAATACACAATTTAAAACATGCATTTGATGCTTAGTTGTTTTAAATGGTGTAGACACCTTCTTGGAATGCTCCTGTTTGGGGAAAATGCCTTGCCTCAGCACCTGCCTGTTACTGTTGAGAAAGCTTGTGAACAGGTAGACCTGACATCTCTGTCAAAGAACCTGATTTTTCTCTGGTCTCCATCCCTCTGCTGCTAATTACTTTCTTTTTTATTGGCAGGCTTTTATAACTTTTTAAAGTGTCTCAGGTGTTGTGTGCTCCCCTGTGAATCACGTGACAGTGACCCACTCCATGTTGGTCTCAGACGTCCTACATATAAAAGCCAACTCAGCCCCACCTCTGAGCTGCCCTACCTTTTCACTAAGCTGGGTGGAATGGACCAAGAGGAAGATGCCAGTTTTAGGATGGACCCTTTCCAGCTTGAACCGGAAAAGCCAATAGTCCTTGGCTAATCTATCCCCACCCTGTCAACAACAGAGTTTACAGCAATACTAACATCCCTACCCTAATTCAGTGCATGAGGACTGTGTGTCACCCATCAGGTGACGCCTAAGACTTGCTAGCCATCTCTGTAGGTGTGTGGTATCTTTGTTAATCATCTGAAAAGGCCCACTGGAAGGAATGATTGGACCATGCACAGCAATCGCACTTAGTGGCTTGTTCATTTCCCCCCTTTGGAATTTGTTATTGGTGACTGTGTATGAAGTTCAAGAATCCCAGTAAAAATTTCCAGCAAGGTCTCTTTTCCTTTTTTATAAAAATAGATTTTTAAAATCTTTTTAAAATTTTTGTTGGGTTTTCTTTTTTGTTTCAGTTTCACCTTTTAAAATTTATTATTTTCCCCTTGTTTGGTCATTTGTTTGATTTAAAAAGAGAAAGGAAGACCCCACCCATCAGCTCAGCCATACTAAACCATCTTCCCTTTTGTCCAAAATACCTTTCAATCTATTTTGTTGTCAATGAACACAACTCTGGGGTCGATTTCCTTCCCCTGTGCTTGGTTCTACAAATTCTTCATTAAAGATCAGTTTACAAGAAAAGAAAAACATTTCATTTTGGGGAAGAAGAAAAATAAAATGTTTAATTTACTGCCACTTAAACGCTCAAATAGCAAGTCCATACTTCTGACCCGTAAGAAACTTATCTAGTCCTTACAACCTGATTAAAAGTCATAAAGACTCTAGAAATCTTGGACTTTGTGCCAAATTCTTGGCTGCCCTTTTTTACATCACTCTGGCCCAAACTTTCATTTCAATCTAAAGTGGTTGAAGAAATAAGCAAATACTCAAACCTGATCAGCAAATTTTACAAAATACGAGTGTAAAATGGATCTCCTTTTCCCAGGGAATGAGTTTTCTCTGGAATCAAACAGGAAGTACCCTCATTTCAGACATACAGGGTTAGATTTATTTCCCAAATATGGCATCATTCTAATTAGGGGCCAAGCAAAATAATGGGATTAAGAACCTGTATCACTAACATGTTAGACCAACAGATGAGATGAGAGCATTCTCCTCCAACCACATTTGTTCTTTTTCTTTCTTTCTTTCTTTCTTTCTGCATCATAAGAGAACAAAGGTGGTGAGCTGAATCTTTTTAATTCCTCCCCCTAGGCTAGCTCAGAGTAACAGTCATGACCTTCTTGGATTTGTTGGTCCACAATGTTTTAACGTGGTGGGGGCATTTCTATCACACCTTACAGGGAGTGTTTGTTTTCATCCTCCAGGGTCAGAAAAACTGTCCACCAAAGGAACCATACAGGTACAGAATTCATAGAGGGAAAGACATGGACAACTGGAGAAAGCTTCAGACCTGGGCATGTATGTTAAGAAAGCCTTGAAAGGGGGAGGGGTCACCAAGCATAGAAACAAGAGAGGTGTCCTATTCTGAGCAGATGTCACCCCTGCATGCTGTCAGAGCAGGGTTTGATTTTCAAGAAGTGGCTGACAAGTTGCTGCATCCGTGCTTCCCGCTGGGCTGTCGGGCATGGGGAGAAGGAGGGGGAGGAGCCTCCCGCTTCCCAAAGATCACGGTGTCTGGCGGTTGAATATTCTGCAACATTGAGTCAATGAACATTTCCGTTCTTGTGGCGAGTTGGGGAAGAGGGCTGCTTCCAGCACACTGTTGCTCCCCCCTCCCCCCCATCTCTCTGACGCATTTGCTCACTCATGCCTTGTGTTGCTTACTGGTCTTGAAGGAAACCTGGAGGATTCGGTCACCCAGTCGGTAGCCATTGAGGCTGGCGATGGCCATGGCTGCTTCATCATAGTTGGTCATGGTGACAAAGCCAAAGCCTTTGCACTTGTTGGTGGTGAAGTCGCGGATTACTTTGACGTTGGTGACGGCTCCAAAGGGCCCAAAGAGCTGCCAGAGGACGCTCTCATCTGCCTCTGGAGAGAGGTTGTACACAAAGATGCACCAGCCAGCACTGGAGGCCCCGGTCAGATTGACTCCCGCCAGGCTGGTCATGCTGTCGATCGTGATAGGAGAGAACCTGGAGATCAAGGAGAGAGGACTACTTTGGGTGTAAGGCTGGCATTCTGCCAGCATAAGTTCACTGCATTACAGAGAGGTTAGGGACAGTGGTGCCAACTGCCCAGCAAGAGAGAGCAGCGCCCACTGTTCATCCTACCATTCTTAGCTCAAAAGGGCACTCATCAGAAAGGCAGTTTCTCTTAAGATTTTATCTATGCCAGAAAGCTGGCATAAGTTGTATGCTCCTATTTCCATAATTTCCCTACATGCCAAGGCAAATCTAGAAGCTAACATTTGAATCCACATTCTTCAAATACATTCCTCTCTACCCTGGGCTCTTCTCAAGTGGTTAATTCTGCTTGCAAGGCGGAAGAAACCTTTGATTTATCTATTGGGCTTCCTGATAGCTAAATAAGCATACTAGCATATTATGGAAGGGTTCATAATAAAAAGGACTGTAACCATCACTTATCATGCAAGCATGGAAACTAGAATCTGGTGAATTGTTTGCATAATGAAGATCTTAGTTTCCATAACTTATTTGAGGTAACTTCAATGTAACAAAGGATGATTTCAATAGAAGTTCAAAAACCAGAAGGAGATTGAGCAAACCTTGTGATAGTGGCAGGGGATAGTCCACCATACATTCCTGTCCTTCTGTCTTCCATCCACCCCAATTTCTTCCCCCCTTGTCTGCTGCAACACAGTTTTCACTAAAAAGTTCTTGAATAACCTGAATCCAGGAACTGATTCACACAAACTGTCTCTACCGGGATTTACGCACTGTGCTAAGTTTCAACATAGCTTCCTTGTCTGTGGCCTGTGGGGTTGGGCAAACATAGCCACTATGGTTTATTCAATAAACCATAATTTTGCACAGTGTGCAAATCCCTTTGTATATGCAGGATCAATTTTGTTCTAGATCCAGAAAGTATCACATTGTGTGCTGCTAAGCCAAACAGGAAGTGACTGACTGGGCTAATGGCTCAGTCAAGTGACTCTCCCTCAAGCCAAACTAGCTGAGTAGCTGTGTGATTCAGCATCCATGTTCAGTGTTCGGATTCATCTGATTGCGGCTAAGTGCCAATGCACACTTACCGGAGGAAGCCCCATGGATCTCAGTAGGACTTATTTCTGAGTAAGCAGGCATAAGATACTGCTCTTATACCTTTGGGTGCAAAATCAGAAAATGGATGCATGCTTTTACACCCTTGATAAAAATTCTCCCTTCTCATCATGTCGGCAGTAGATCTGGACTGAAGAAGGGTGGCGCTACAAAATGGGCAGCTTCTCTTTGCCGAATCTGAGGAGGCAGCTGGGTGTTGCCAGGTGACTCCAGGGCAGACTGGAGCTCCACAAAGGAAGCTAAGGCAGCAAACACTGTACATCTTTTAAATATCAACTTAAAGTGAAGTGTGTGGTCTGATATGCTGAGTAATTTTAGTTTAAAAACACAATGCTACAGCATTGTTGAACATAAGAACGTATGAACTAGATAAGTGCCTGGACGGGAGACCCCTGGCAGCCCTGGAAGCCATGCCAGATTTTCTATGGAAGAGTGGGGTATCTGGGTAAACGTCACTGTTCAAACACACAGACAGCCCTTTAGCTCTCACAGGTTGCCCACAAATTGAAAAACAAAATGGGGTTACTGCTTCTCTGATATACTTTTAGAACAACCACTAACTTCTGTCCCACAAGCAATGGAATTAAATGAAACCAAGAAGCACCCAACACAATGAAATCTAAGAAACACAAGACCAAAAATCATAAAGAACAGCCAGTCATCTGAGCAAACAGCAAGCCCTTCTCTCAAGCCAAACCCAAAACAGAACCAAAAGAACATATGAAAGACTACAGTGTGTCCCCAAGACACACACATTTGAATTCCACAGCCTAAGCCAGAAATTGGAGGGACACTGTAATTTTAGCTTTTCCTTTTCAATTCCCATCTTCACTGAAGGAGGTGTGGAAGGGTTGTTGGTTTGTTTGTTTTTTGGTGATTAAAAAGAAAACATCAGTATAGGGGGAAAAGCACTGAATCAAGCAAACAAATGTTGTCTATGTTTAAACATGGCTCAGACTGGGAAAGAAAATGATCCTCCACTATAAGAGACTCTGCCCCCTCCAAGACTCAGTGCTGGGTCTGATCAATCACAACCCTCAGCTTTCTTCGTGTATCTACAAAAGGGAAGTGTGGCTGCACTGCAGGGAGGTCTTGGCAAGGCGGAGGGGGAAGCTCTTGGCTGGGGGGGGGGGCTGTCCTGACCGATCACCTTTTAAAAATCCAGCCTTGTGCTGTAGGCCAAGGTGGGGAAGAGGAGGGGGCGAGGAGCGTAGGCTTTGGAAGGCTATTTACCTCTTGACGCCGTATGCCATGTTTAGCAAATTGTCGAGCCTGTGGGAGGAAGAGGAAGATGAGGAGAGGCCATTGTTAGTAGACAATTTCGTAACAAAAGGGTCCTGCGAGGTCATCTGCCCTGGTTATCAGTGCAGCAGAAAGGCAGCACATGGATTCTGTCACTAACAGAAGTTGCCATTTAATGTGCGCAACCGCATCTTGAGGCCCTCGTGTCTTTGGGGGGGGGGGATAGTTCAAAAATAATAACAAGGGGTCAGGTGCTCTACCTATTTTTCCACATCTATTTTTTCTATGCTGGAAAGTGTGGGAAATGGGAAGCATTAAGTACTAAAGGGCAATGAACGTTGTATTTCAAACATCACAATGAGGATGAGGATGTTTATGACACTCATTCCTTTTAAAAACAAGACACATAAAGACTAGAAGCGCACATGGCAAACATGTTTAATAGTTTCATCTTGGCATCCCATCCCCATTTTTACGATGGATTTTTCTTTCCAAGATTTTATATAGCAACTCTCTTGACTTGGGATCTACCCACTGGCTTTCTAATACACATGATTCCCATTATCGTATAAGATCAAAAGGTTTTTTTTCTTCAGAAAAGGCAATTTATAGCCACTGTGGTTGCTAGAAAAAATCTGAAAGTGCCTTGGTTGTTAGAGCTTTCAGCTGTCAAAATCAAAAATCTTAGTCCTTTCTCAGTTAACTTTCCTGATTTTGTAATTGTCCTGTTCTTATGTTAATCTCAAGTGTTCATCACCTGTATTTGTATGCTTTTCCAGCATCCCAGCTCTTCAAGGAACCTTGTACAAAAGGAAAATACTTTAAAAGCTTCCTTTCACAAATTGTGCATTTTACAAGAATAGAAATATGTGCTCACTTTGTATAATGTAGCGGTTTTTTCTACTACAGATTTGTAAATATCATTTCAGAATTATGATCCTTTTAACTGGGGCATTTTGCTGCTTTCCATGTGCAGCAATTAATGGTGTGATGGCAGAAATACATTTTCCAGGCCCAAGAACTTCCGTCTGTATATTATGGCTCTATCCAAAAACAGTAAAATTAGCCAAGGCGCAGAAAAAGAAGAAAAGAAAGAACCTTATGTTCACATGTTCCATGGGTTTGTATGGATTTTACATTCTATGCCATGCAGATGCCATGCTTTTATATGTGACATTTATGTATGGGCAGAAATGCATGAGCAGCAAGTTCAAACCAAGTGATCCTGAATTACCATTCAGTCCAATCTTAATGTACATACACAAGGCTTACACAGCTCTTTAAGAAACAGATTGGAAGTGTAGCTAAATTCTTAGCAAATTTCTTTTTTCATGGGTTTACATCTACTGGATGTAGATTGTTTTGGCAGGTCTGGCAGATAATAATTACTGGATCAATGATTTTGCTTTTTGGGGAGGTTTATAGACAGATGGGACTCCTGGATTCTGTAAATTCATAACTATTAACCAGAGTCTATTATTTGGTGGTTAGAGTATCATCTAGACAAAAGAACAGGAAATAATTGTGCTGGCTTGCTATTTTTTTTCTTCTGTCTCTACAAATCAAGACAAGTATAATGCAATGAAGCATTACATGCATTTTCAAAATAACTGGGACGTGAATAGCAAAGATATCTGACTCCCCAACTTACATGATGATTATCTCACTGATAATATCAAACATGGATCGTTCTGCCCGAGAGGTATTCCAACCCCCAAATCCACTACACACCGGTTTAGAAGGAAAGTGCCCCATTGAAATATGAGTAAGTAGTTCTAGCACATTTTAAAATTGTGAGCAGCTGCTTTTTTCAGTCCATCAATGAAGAAATTTAAATTAGCCATCTTATCACACGAAGCTAGTTGGCATCCAGAAGAGAAGACAAAAGATACAATTCAAAGGACACTTATTGGCTCCATCCTACAGGACTAGCTGAAAACCATCACTTGAAATTCTTCGCAATTTCAGTCAAAGGGGGCAGGACTGTTACAACTGCTTTGCTTTGCTTTGGGGTATAAGGAATTTCCTGAGTTTTACATTTTGGGGATTGTTATCCTCAGGAATTCTCTCCCACCTCCTGGATAAACTAGACATTGGCTGCATTCCCACAAATCATTAAACCAGAATCCTGGCATGGCATCAGGGGTAAGCCTGCTGCTGTACAGTGCCTGATCACATCCACAATGTGGGAAGTCAGAGGTCTGAGATGGATTCCTAACCCAGGATTGGATCAGAAACATTTCCATTGTAACATTTCTAACTATTTAGCTATTGAGTTTCCAGGACGAGTCAACTGGGAGTGATCAGGCAGGCAAGCAAGCTCTAGGATGTATATTCATAACAATCAGCAGGATTTTAGAAATTCTGACTTTGCTACACGTGATCTTTATGACCAACACATGAGACATCCTCTGGTTTTGGTCTTCAACTCAACCGCAACTGATAACCAACTCTTGACTAGCATACCAGAGAATACCTATAGATTATTTATGCTTTGTATAAAATTGGAAAAAATGAACTGCAACAAAAGTGCAGGTTGGGTTGTTATTGTCTCTTTCTCTGTCTCTCTTGTGTTCTCTAGGTCTAAAACACCAACAAAACGCCATACAAAATCATTTTACAGCCCCCAATAGATTGAGAGCACAGAAGATTAGGCCCAGGTCAGCCTCTTAGAAGAAAACAGCATAGGAGTTCACCTCATAATGCAGTAATGATCTCCAGAAGCAGAAGGAAACATCTATAATGGCTCCCTGGGAAGACAAAGCTAAAATATTTCTTGCTCTATAAAGTCAGTAAAACCCAAAGCATTTTTTAAAAAATTTTCAGAGGATAGAAATGCTCACTGCTTTAGCCCTGTCCTCTTCCACAAGCCGGTGTGCTATTTTCATACAGCAATCTTCCCTACCAAAATCGAGGATGCACAATTCATGCCAAAATCCCTTATGCTTGGCCGTACTGCCTGCCTACTATGGAACTGCCTAATACACCACCCATCCCATCTTGATCCCCTTTCATCAGTCATGTCAGCTGGCCACGGAAAATACAATTTCGTAAAGGGGAATCTGCAACATAATAGCCCCCTGCTTTGCAGCCATTCCTGAGGGCTCTACCCTTGGCATTAGATTGATGGGTAGGAAATATGATGGATTCATACCTAAAAACTAATGCTGTACCACCAATATAAACTCTCTCAATTATCTCTCTCTCTCAATAGTTTGAGGTGTTTCACAGTCTCAGTTGTTCAGCTGTATCATAAAATGGGACCATTAGCTACCCTAAAGAATTGTAAGGATGAGCAACTGCTGAGCCTTGGAGATACCATGGGTGATGAACGGAAATACTATATAATGAGTGCCACACGATGTTACTATGAAAAGGGATAATCTCACATGATTATTTTCCCACATGGGTATGGGAAAGAGTTATATAAATCCACATACCTTACACTACCAGATGTGAAAATTTCATGTATCTACTTTTCCAGTTGTATTTGAACTTTATAAGCCATGATTAGAAACTGAAAAGTAGACATCTGCATTATCTTTATATAATGGGGAGCTGCTCTACACCTCTGTACTGCTTTGTGAGGAAAACATATCATGTCTGAAAGAGCCCTAGCACACAAAATATGTGAGAAACACAGAAGAAAACAGATTGAATATTGAATATGTGCTATATACATGGATTTCAAGCTGCAAGCAGACATTCCAAAACAAACTGAGTGAGAGTTTTACACCATTTTTGTTCTGGTTATTCAAATATCTTCAAAACTAGGCTCAGAACATAGGCTAAAGGATTCTTTCAAATTTATTTCTATTTACCTGTAGGGTGAAAAAGATCCTAAGAATTAACAGGTAAATGCTTTCAAGAGCCTTGGTTCTTGCTCCTTGATGGACAGTGTTGCCCAGACTGTTCTTTTAAAAAAATGGCTCTCTAATTAAGGAAGGGAAATCTGGCAATACTCTAGATTCAGCATTAAAACTCAACCTCCAGTTACATTAGCAGCATTAAGATGCAGGAAATTCTTGGGTAGGACAAGAGGTTCACTGCTACTAAAATTACTAGGAGAAAGTTAGGTGTTAAAAAGCTACTTGACTCAGAACTACGTGTCCTATCGGTATCTCCTTTATCAAGAGCAATTTTCAGATGTGTGTGCTCTACCTCTGGAATGGTAGCTCCAGCACTCCTCCTTGCAGCAATCTAGCAGGCCAGAGATCTCCTCACAAGAACAAGACTTGGCAGACTCAGCAAAGCACATAAAGTTGTTCTGAGTTTTGTCCTCTTTTGCCCCACATAATTTGGCACAATGAACATATTTACAGGGAGAAACAATCTCTCTCCTGTTTTGCTGTTACGTGGCCATCAGGCCTAAATATAAGGCTTTGTCAAGAATAGGAAGGGATCCAAGATGTCTTAGGGAACAGTCTACAAGATGAGAACCATTCATATGACCCAAGCCCAATGGATTATTTTGGCAAGAAACAGTTTCTTAAGAAGCAGCCAGTATGATAGTGTCATGGGGCTGTAGAAGGAAACAAAAGCTTTTCCTATCATGCGTATTTGTGGACTAATGGTACCCAGATCTAACATAGAGACTAAAGATGAGTATTTCCAAGCATGGGATCTGAAACCTATACCTCCCTTAAACAGAGGGACAACAGCTGCAAGGCACTGGGTGAGGAGAGGACCTGACCACTCAGCCTTCCAGCAAAGGAGAAGGGAAGATGTCTCACCTGAATCGCTGAGTCTGGTGGTGCAAAGGCCCTGTGTACCGCCGGGCTGTGGTCTGATACAGGTGTGTGAGTAATGCTTGCCCTGTCTTCTGGCTGGGGTTATTGGCAAACTTGACTGTGATGGGCTCACTAGCACCCAGCGGTTTCTGCCCATTCAGCCCCTTGATGGCTTCCTCAGCTTCTATCCTCTTGTCAAAGCGGATGAATCCCACACCTCTAGATACACCTACAAATGGAGAAATGGGGGCATTAATGCTGAGTACTGCATATTGTGATTGTTTATGCAGCAAAGTCTCCTAGCTAAAGCAGAGATTTCATCTTTTAGTATCTGAAATTGGATGTAATGTCTCTTGTTGAGTATTGTTACTGGTTTTAATTTTCCAGAGGAAGGCAATTGTTTGAAATGCATTTGGCAATCTTTATAGATCAATTGCTACTCTTAGGCATCTCCTTGAGCTAACTTCCTTTCCTTTTCTTTTACTAGCTGGATATTATAGCTTGAGTTGGAACCACTGCCTACACTCCATGTTGCCCAGTGGTTCCAACTCAAGTCGACTCAGCTGAGCCAAAGCTCAGTCCAGGAACTTGCTTAAATGTTTCTGGGCATATATGGAGTTTAGAATTTTCTATATGATATTATGAATGGGAGTTCCCATTCATTTCCAAAATGAGAACCATTTGGCAGAGTTTTTTGCTCGTCAGCGCAGACTAAGAGCGACCCATGTATAACAGAGAGATAGGCATCAGCGGCAAAATATGTACATATGAGCACATGGCTTCATACAAGCAGCATCACAGAGGGAAATTATTTATTTTACATACATAGCAATACTTACAATACATGCACAACCCCCAATATCTAATATAACCTACTTATTTCTCCCTACACTCCTGCTTTTGTCCCCCTGGCACCCATCTCCCAACAATGACACCAGTGTGGGACAGAGTCCCTGCTCCTGTGTTACCTGTGACTTGATCCACAAGGATACGGGAGGTGATGATGCGTCCATACTGTGAGAAGAGCTGCTCCATCTCTTTCTGGCTCATGGTCTTGGGCAGGCCACTGACGTAGAGATTGGCATCACGGATAGAAGCGGAGCTCGGCCGTGCATAGGACACCTGGTGGGATGGAGGGCATGGTTACAAGGGACCTCAAGAAAGAAGCAAAGAACAGTCTTCTGAATTCCATTCACACATCAAAAAAGCAACCTTCTACCATGAAAGAAAGAAAGAAAGAAAGAAAGAAAGAAAGAAAGAAAGAAAGAAAGAAAGAAAGAAAGAAAGAAAG